TTTCCTTGTTAGGCTTACGAACAAAAGAGGATTGGAAAAGGGAGATGAAGGAGTTTAAAATGAGGGACTTAATTGAAGAAATGGAAAGTTGGAGGAGTGAAATGCAAAGTTAAAAACCAAAACCCAAAACCCAAAAAATTAAACCCAAAGCCCAACCAAAATCAACCCGAAAACACAAAACCCAAGTTCAACCCAAACCCAAGAAAAAACCCAAAAAACCAATCTTCCCAAAAAAAAAAGAAAAAAAAAAAAGGAGAATTGAAAGCCTTTTCTCCTGAATCTTCTCTATTTTTAGTCAAATACCATTTTCTCTTTCTCGAACCGGCCTTCTCCCCAAAACCAGCCGGCAGCCACCCTTTGCCAAAGTCACTGGCCGTTGAGCTTCTTTCCATGCCAAAGCCACTTCGATCCTCTTCCCCTCATGCACCTTCGGCTTTCTCTCTCTCTCCCTCATCTCCTGGATCATCCTCCATGCAGGCTCAGTTTTCTCCGGATCCGTCGACGTCGGCGAGTTTTTCGAGCAACAGACAGCCATTTCTCAAAAAGGAAGCCGGTGATCTTGGCTTCAATATACCTTCCCAATCATTCCCGTGGCTCAGGACCCACCATCTCGGCGAGTGAACAACAGAACATGAGCAAATCGAGTGGGATCTATTGATTGGTGGTGGCGGTGATGTGCACGCGAAGCCCCGACGACTTGGCAAAATATCAATCGTCATCCAACTGAAACAGATCTGCAAACCAAATCTATGCTAGCTACAAGATGACGACAGGGTGAATTAGGCGTGGATGAAGGCCCAAGTGCATTTCCATATTTTTGTAAAAAGGATCAACATCGGAGAGGCCCAAATGCCTTGCAGATTCGGGAAACAGATCTGAAGAGCCCAAAACCGTGGATTCAAAGGGCCCGGAGAGATTGATTCTAGAATGTTCTTTTTAGGGTTTTTAGGGTTTTTGGTGTTTGGGTATAAATAGGTGGTTTTAGTTTAGCAGCGGAGGAGGTCTTTTGTTGGGTGGTTCTGGTGTTGACGGCGGAGGAAAGGAAAAACTTTCTGTTGAAAGGGGGCTCGGTTTTTGTATGTATCCGAAGGTTGACGGAGGGCTTATTTGCTGTGTCTGCTTCTGTTTAGGTAAATCTTTGAACAGAGGAGTTTTTCTGGGAATGGTGGTGAAGGGGACGATGGGAGCCTGGTCTTGTGGGTGGGATCCCTCCCATCAGATCTGGATCCATTTTTACCAGAAAACTCTGCCTTGGATGTGTTGCCTTGTTGTTGATTCCTCTATTTGTTTCCATTTAATGTTTAAGGTTATATGTATTTTCTTGAGAAAATGAATGAAAGATCATATATTTGCCTGTTTATTTGCTTGATGAATCTGTTAATCTTTTG